AATACTGAATGCTGGTATTTGAGGCCTTCAGTTACGCTGTCTTTTGTTGTTTTATTTGGGGTTTTTTTGGTCTCTGGTATTTTCTTCCTGTTGCAAGGTGTTTTTTTGGTTTTTCTGTGGGGTTTTTCTTGCCTATAGAGTACAGCTACTTGATGTATTAGTTGTTAGATAGAAGTTGCTCTGATGCACAGCTTCCTTTCTTCTCCTCCTAGCCCCTCAAGGATACTGTCACCCTCACCAGCTGGTACTATCTAGATTAAAAATAGACATCAGCTGCACAATTGCAAATTTCTCCTGAGGATACCAACAGCAAGAGAGTTGACTACAATTCTTCACACAGACAGCATCTAAAAACACATTAGAAATGACATCTCTCTCAACTTCTAAAGTTCTTAACACCATTCACTCTGGCCTTGCCCTCAGAATCTGTTTCCACCAACTCTCCAGGATAATCAGCTGCCTGCTACCAATTAGTCTTGATAAACTAGCAAGGATATAGCCCCACTAAATTGCTGGCAATAGCTGTAAGGATTTTAACTGCTCAGAAACAAATTATTAACCTCTGGCTCACCAGATTCTGAGTTGAACTCATTTTCCTTTTCATGCTTAGATATTTGTAAGAGAGAGAATGTCAAAGCACCTAAGGTATGTATCATTGTATTACCTGCAACAGATTATGAAGATCACCAGCTGGTAAAATTTGTTAGGAAAAAAATCTGTTCTCATTTCATAGAAAATTCAATCTGCTTAATTATACCTAAAAAACACTAGATACATCAAAACTGCATTCTTTCTTCGCTGCAGTATTTAAGTAGAAACAGGAGGGTTTTAAGCATGGAGGGTAATGCTGAATGTCAAGTTCAGAGGTAAACTCCCAGTTCTTTTGCTGACTTCCTGGGTTACCTTAAGTAAAGCATCCTTGCCTTTCAAATGAGGACTCTTTTTTTTTTCCCACTTTGTCTCTTATATCATTGACACTTTTAAAATGCTTTTGGGGATTTTTTTAAAGGTATATTTCATCTGTAAGATGGAAACTCAGAGGATGAGGTGTGGGTGCTGTTCTAACAATGCCAGAATGCTACTCACCATTTTATCCTCTAATGAAGCAAGATGCAAGGCTGTGCTTTCCCAGTACGAGAAGAAATGTATCCCTCAAAGTCTGAACTCCTGTGTTATAGAGATGAGATATTTATACTGTGTTAGAGCTCCATGTGGTACCTAAAGTAATTCATGTAGGCTAAGGCTCATAGATGCTATTATAACACAATAAAACTGAAATAGCTGAGAATAATGCTATCCATTTCACTATGTTATAAAAAAGGATGTAACAAAAAAATCAAAATCAGAAACACAAAGGCAGACAAGGAAGGGAACCAGGAGAATCTCCTCATGCCCTATCATGTGGGGCTGTACTCTCCATTCAAACTGATGTAAATCTGCACAGTGCTGACCCGTTAGTTCACACAGATTAAGGGACTGAAATGATTTTCTTCCATCCTGATCTTCCTGGAGCTGGAGTGCACAGCCAGTGCTGTGCTCTCGTTGGACACTGCCAACTGCTGTTAATGAAAATTAGCTGGGTGAGGTGTAGGGCAGCTGCTGCCCAGACTCTGTTGTTCAGCAGGGATTTCCAGTAAAGCTTCCTGCTATACTGACCCTCAGCTGACTGTCAAGGTCTGTTTTGGGTCAACAGGACATAGATAAATCAGCCTGAAACAATATAGTTGAGTGTGTCTCCTTTCAGCATCTTGAAATGGTCAGTGAGAAGATTCCTAGCTTTCCTTCTTGGAGTTATTTAAAATAATCACCCTGCGTGTTCTGTTTATCTGTACAAGACCTGAAGTCTAGAGAAATTAGCATCAAACAGTATCCACATTTAAGGAAATACTTATCTAGTCAAAATCCAAGCAACACAAGGGGAAAGATAATTTTTCATGTCTGCCTAATAATTTAAGAAAACAAACAATGAAATACAGTTTTAAAAATACATCCTTACAATAATTTTATAAACTGTGCTGTCATCTCATAAAGAATCTGGATGGTTGCTGTGGTGACAAAGATTATCCTTGCTGCTGCTTGATTCTGTCATTTTTCTAAACATGAATTCGTAATATTTAGGATTTATTAACAATGTGTCACATTGATAGAGGTAAATTACATGCTTTAAACTGCCCATGTAAGTCTTCTATGATATTACAACCACTTTGTCAACTCAGCAATAAGATATGATGTGATTACTAGAAAATTAAAGCTATTTGTCATAAAAGATGAAGCAGAGAGTATCAGAACTCTCATAAAACAATAACAAAAAAATCTCTAGTAATCTAATGTTTCCTGATTTTAAATACTTTGAAGTTAGAAAATAGTTACTATTTTCTGTTTTGTAAATTGATCCAGTTTAGCTTATATTGAGACTAGATTTATTTGTATGGGAAAATTTGGGATGTAATGTACCAAAATTAATGTGATCTGCAATTTTTTATGATGGTTCAAACTCTAATGGGAAATTTGTAAAGAGACCTTAATGATGGGATATTTTGTAGTATATAAAAGCATATGTGCACACACTTGTGTGTTAAGAAGATGTACTTCACTTCTAGGAATTTGTGTATGTTTCTTTGTGATGTGTGGTATCCTAATTGTAGCAGAACATTAGATGAGATTCTCAGTGTGGCTGTCTAAAAAGTGTATTTTTGTGCACCTTACAGAAATATTTGTTTGAAGCAAGCTCACTGTTGATACAATGTGAGTTTGATTTAATAAGCACCTCTAGAGTCATTGCTCTATACATGTTTTGCAGTCAAACCAGCAGTAAATTCCCTAAATCAAAAGTAATTTTAAAACACATTTTTTAAAAAAAAATTTTTGAAATAACAGATTTATTCTTATTTTATATTTATTTTTTCAAGAAAAACTGGCCTTTTTTTCTGTAGTGAGACATAATACATGGTAGAAATGCAGCAGAGCTGAGGCATTTTAAAGCAAGCAAGGAATATGTGTCTGTGTGACTCTGCCTGAAAAATATAATTTATTCATGTGCATCTCTATATGTAGGGTGACCTCTTGAACTGGGTGAGATATGTCTCCACTGTATGTTGCAACACAGAGGAAGTGACTCAGTTTTTCTAAGTCCCCTGAGTCAGTGTTTGGAAGCAGCCTGGAACAGTGGCATGGAAAACTGCTCAGATGTGCCCAGAATTAGGGAGCAATCTTCCATCTGTTCCTGTCTTGCAACATGCCTACCATTTATGCTACCTAAACTACACCATGTAGCCCTTTAAGCAAAACAAGTGGGGAAAAATCTGAAAATCAAGCAACAGGACTCTCTCGGTTGATAGAAATAAAATATCCTCACATATTTAAAAGAAAAAATAATCCAGGCTCAGCTGAAATACAGTAAATCAGTAGAGTATATTTCTTCCTATTCTCACCCTTTGAGGTTTATAGAACAATAAATGAACTACACACCCGGGCTGAAAAGAGCAAGTTGAAAAGTGAATAAAAACTCCTTTTAGCCTAACGACATCATATAATTAGCTTAGTTATGTTTCCATACATAGTTGGCTAACTAAGTGATGTATTTTACCCTTTGTTACTCTTTACCTCAGTGAAATAATATTCTCACTATCTGAAGACAACCTAGCCTGATGCCATGGAATAGTTCTGGTTTTGCAAACCACACACAATAATTATTTCAGATACCAAATACTATGCTGAAAACATTCTTCATTATTTTCAAGGACTTATGTAAATATCTGTGGAGGGAAAGCTCCATTTCCTACTGGATTTCTTTGGCAATGTGTATCCTGAGAAAATAACTAAGGTTGTAAGTGAAATATTTCGCTCTTTTTCAATAAGCATTAGAGTAGCTTCTTAGACCTGATATGCAATAATTTGCATAACTTTTTCTCTGTTGGATTCATTTTGTGGTCAGTACTCTTGTTATTTAGACCCTGCAGACTACAGGTAACACTGAAATACAAGAAGGCATCTCCCAGAGTCTAGTGAGGAAGTTTGCATTTGCTTTTGTCGAAAACTAATTTCATACAGTATTTTAGAGCAGTTTCCTACTGCACGAAATATGTGCACAATATTATTAAACCAGGCACTGTGTATAGTCTTAATGACTTTATTGCACAGCTGTAATAAATGCCCTTTAAATTTCTACAACTGTGTGTAAAGAGGGCTATGAACATTTGATTTAATTCTGGTTTGCTTTTTTGAAAATTCAACATTTTACCTTTTTTTATATTATCCTGCTTTTGACACAATAAAGACAGTAGAAAAAAGATTTATATGGAGGTATATAACAGTAATTTAATATCAATATTGCAGCTGAAAAATTTTATTCAAAAGGAATGGCAGATAAATAATGTACCCCTTCCTCCTCTATGAAGACAGTTCTCAGTTTTTGGTGTACAGCATGATCAAAATGAGTCATTCTCTGAGACAACAGTCACTAACACGGGAACTTTTTATCTCTATAGTTTATATAGAGCATTGAGTTTTACTGTGTGTTGGAGATACCAATTCAGTATGTGAGCTTTAAAAATTTTAGAAAATATAGTAAAAAGAACATTTTTTCCTTCCAAAGATAATTTGGAAAACATAAAATAGTAATTTTGGTAAAAAACTCAAAATACATAAAAAATGTTTAGTAAAAGCATGTTTTTCTGAATCATGACTAACACGTTACTGTAAAGGCATTACAGATCAGCAAAACCTATTCTTACCTTTAAAAGTAACTTATGGCTCAATTAAAAACAAAATAATCATTAAAGACAGTTAATGTTGTGATTTATTTCCATATATCTTGTCTGTGTATATATATAAAATTGAAATATATTGTATATAACTCTGACTATGCAGGTGATAAAGCTGTGGTGCAGCCATAATATTTTAAGTACTTTTTAACTTTTTTTTTTAATATGAGAATGCATCTGATATTTTTGTGTGTGAAAACTATTTTAATATTTATAAATCTGTCATTTTTTTTTCAGAAATTCAAAAACAGAAGACAGAGAAACCTGAAAAACGAACACCAACGAAGGGTAACTGTTTTTTGTCTGTTTTCCTACATATATTTGTGTAACATACAGTGCCTTTGTTAACTACATAATTTATTTTTTTTTTTAACTTGGTTAACTACTGCTGCTGTATCACAGAAGCATTCAAAGATCAGTTGGCACAGACTGCAAATGATCAAAAATTCATGTATACCTAAGTATTAACAAAAAATTTGTAATTTTATGCTTGTGTAGCTATATTGAAAATGCACATTCATAATAAGATTCTTCTGCCCAAACTTTTTCAGAAATCTTTTTTCTACTAAAGGTTCAAGAAAGTTGAGTGTTGATGAACTTCCTTTGGTGCAAAAGGCATGAAGTGTGTTGGGCAAGGAAAAAAGCAAATTCATAGGCCAGTGGGTGCCATCCAAGTTAGGAAGTCATAGTTAAGAGGGAGCCAGGTGTGTATCAGAGATAAGAAAAACTTCCATTTTAAGAACCTGCTCTTTTTCAGACTGTTTAATCTCCTATAACTGACACTTTCCAAAAATCCACAGAGGAAGTGGATTGGACTGGTTTTCAGAGGTTGTATAAACAAAGGTGTTTCCTGGGATATCTGAAGGGTTTTTTTGCCTAACAGAGCTCCTCCATAAGGGCCAGGCCACATAAAACTTGACGAGCATCCCTCTAAAACACCAGTGCTGAGCTAGATTGTGGCAGGGGGAAGCAAGAAAGAGGCTTATTAAAAATGTTGTGTATACACATACACCCTCCCTTATGCAATTATATTCATTTCTATATGTATTAGTGTGGTTTTATAGTATTTTACATATCTGTAAAATATTTTCAAAGTATTTTTCACCTCCAGTTCTGTGCTAATCAGGATTGTCTGGACTGACTAGAACTGTTTCCCAACTATTTAATAAATCATGTTTTATCAAAGTGAATTTTTTAGAGTACCTGGGCAAGCCAGGTAATAATGAACAGAGACCCATTAACAAGGATCGCAGTTAAGGTCTTTTCAAGCAAAGTAATATAAAACCACAAATGATGCTGCAATTTTGACTGAGACAGCCTCTTGTGTTCCATTTCATCTATGCAAAAGTGCATTTCTTTACACAGAACAATATTAACATTGCAGAAATTATAACAAAGAAAGTATAAGATGCCAGAAAATAGTATTCAGGTTTCATTTGCTAAGTCTCATTATTATGTGCCTGATAATGCAGTCTCTAGTTACACAATCAGTTGCTGAAAAACAAAACAATTTTTTTTTCTATATTTTGTTTTCATGTTTAATCCCAACAATGTGACTTGTACATAGGAGGAACAATTCTAAGAAAACATTCTATATGGCCTCTGTCTACATTGTGATAAAGGCATGAATCCTTTAGGAATTTTACTATTACCTTCTAAATTACCTTCAGGAAATATATACAAATTCAGTCTTTTATTGTTTTTCATAAGAAAAATCCAGAAGTAAAATGAATATTTTTAAAAGCAGGAAATGGAAAAAAACATTTCTGTCTTCTGCCCAACATGTGGGAACACTAGAGTTTTAAAAGTAATTTAATTATTTTTTTGAATAGTCAAATCCTCTGAGTACAAGTCCCACAATTTACAAGGGAGTTCAACCTATAAGCCTCATTTTTGAAAGATTGAACTGAAATATGAGGAATGGTTATAATGAATAAAAATCCCAGATGGAAGTGACTGAAATTAAAAGATTCAAACAGTACTGAGAACCAGGCAAACTGGTGCCCTAAAATTTGCTTTTAATTAAATATTTTGATAAACTACTAGCAATAATGTCTATTTAAACTATTGTAGCAAATTTAATCCTGGAAAGAAGAAATACTCCGAGAAACAATTGGACAAAGCCATTGGTCATGCTTAAGAGCTCTGAAATCAAATTATTTCATGATGACTTGTACACATAAGTAGAAACTCACTACAAATTAGGGTCTTTCCAATTTGATGTTTGAGATATTATTAATTTCATGAGTGCAGTGGCACCTGGACTGCATGATCAGGAGCTTGATCAGCCAGCAGAGGCACAAGGGATTGATGATCTTCCTGTACACAGTTCTCATGAGCATCTAGATATTATGTTCTAGATCGATTTTGCAGGACTCTGAGTTGCTGCTGGAGCCTGTTTAAGAAATAGGTGATATAATTGTTATTAGTATTATGACCAGTAAGAGTTAATTATGCATTGTTTTGGCAAAAAAGTAAGAACAAAAATAAAAAATATGGAGATAAAAGTACATGTAAGTACAGAAATTCTGTCTAATGGAAGGTCCAACGACATTTTCTGATTTTTATGAAAAGCTGATCATACCAGTGAAATGAATTGTATTGCATTTCTGGGAAATAGCTCTAAATAAACCAGGCATTGAGAAGGAATGGGAAGAGGTTGATTTACTGTGGCTTTTCCCAAAATCACTTCACTAATTCATTGCTGTTGGAGTGAGATATGGAAGAAAACAATATAATGATGGTTAATTGCTGTAATTGGAAGACAAAAATTTGAGACAGCTTAACAGATAAATAGAGCTAGACCATACAAATCCTAGTATGCTAGAAACCTACATATTTTCAACAAGTTAATGAACTAAAGGGCATATTTGATACACAGATAAATCTGTCTAGCCTGATTTCTCAATGTACAGCAACAACTATGCCTGTGTGAACTTTAAACTGGAGAACTTGGTACAGATAGCAACATAGCTGTAGTTTCCTTAAATTAAGTATTTGGACCTGGCAGGTTATGCCCCTCTCCAGACCAACCCTATTTTTTTGTTCCAGTGTTCCTTCAAGAAGAATTAACTCATCTAAAGTTGCTTTACATCCGAATGAAAGCATCTACATGGAGATTTAATGCTCTCTGACTAATGCACTCTAACTTCATTGTATTAGTTCATTTATCTTAACTTTCCTGAGTGCTGCCCTGTAGACAAGCACTTAGTCTGTTAGCTGGAGCGAGCAATCTCTGCTTCATGCTTGCTGCAGTCATCACCTGGCTTTGTACTAAGCAGCAGACTTAAGACTTACTCAGCTGGAAACTATTTTTGCTTCTCTTAGGCATGGAAGTAGTGTCTTACTACATATCTTCTTTTTTGCACTTTCTGTTTTGGAGTGTGGAACGTCTTTGTTGGAGAACTTTATGGAAGAAAAACTAAATCACCTCCCCCCTCACCATGTCTTCAATTTGATACAAATAAAATCTGTGAAGATGATTGAGATTAGGAAAATCCTCTTACATATTTGTGATGCTTCTTATTTTTATTTTTCTATGAAGCAGATAGCAATAATAAGTTTGGGACACATTTTTAAATTACCTTAAAATTTTCCATTATAATCTTCTATTTTAGATTATTTATAAATTTATCATACTCCAGTCACTTAGGATGAGATTTCCCATGTTCATCTTTTTGCCTCAGGCTGAATATTCATTCAAAGACATGCAAAAATGTTTCAGCAATTTCCAAAATCTAGGTTAGTGAAAATTAGGTTGGGATGTTATATTTTTTCCAGTGCTAATAACACTTCATTCTGAGCTTAAGACTATTTATTTAGCAAGGAAGTCCAAGAAAATTTCTTTTAATTTGTGGGAAAATCTTACCTTCCACAATTGCCATAAATCTACTTGGTTTTTAAGTCTAATTATTTTTTTCTTATGGATGTCACCAGCATCCTAATAGCATAAGTAACAAAAGAGGTGATCTTGTAATTGCAAAATGTGTCACAAAGCTAATAAAATTATTATTAATAAACCGTTCTAGTTTCAGCATTTTTCAGCTGAAATGTAAGTAGCCTTAAAACCATCTTTATATCCTTGTGTGTTTTTTTTTTATTTTTTTTTTTAATATGTAAAAGAAAATCCAGTCAACTCTAATTTGTTTCAGAGAAACATGGCAGTATGGCCAGCCTGACTAATTCTAAAATCTAATGCTTGCACCTAGAATTGTGGGCTTGAAAAAGGGCATGTATTAAGCCCTTTACAAAGAAAAATATGTCCAAGTTACACAATATGGAAAAGATCTGTAGACAGTGATGTATTTTCTATGACAGGCCTTTTATGACTGTTGAAGTTGAACTCTCTTTCAGGGGAGAGTTAATATGCTAAAAAGTATCAGATTTAAATTTGTTAGATCAGAAACTTCAGTGGATTTTGTTGGTCTTGTGATTGCACAGTCAAAAATGGCCAGTGATCACAGCCCTGAAACATGAACACTTTAATTTTTGGCAGCACCTGCCCTTCCCGAATAAGGGAAGCCATAGCTCTGACAGTGCCCATAAGAGGTAATGATAAACATTACAATCTGAGATTAGCAGCTTCTGAGGCAATGGGGATATCAACACACAGGATAAGGCTCTCAAACTAACCTTCACTGAGATCACCTTCAGCCTATAATTGGGAAGAGAAAATGAGCTTATGCTTATGCCAGCCTGGTCTCTTCTTATCCACATTCCAGGCTCCCTGCCCAGATACATCAAGTTACTTTTCTTTCTCAAGAAGGAGCCAACTGATCCCTCCCTCGTGTTTTAAGCTTTAGTCCACACAAATATTAATATTTCCTCGCAGTTTTGCTGTTTGCATCATTTTGATATGAAACAAATTAAATTAGATTCTTCTGTCCACTTTCAGGTCTACTGACGTTCAATTCAGTTAGTGTTGTTCAAGGCTCGTTTTATGGGTTTGTTGTGTGGGTATGGGTTTTGTTTGTTTTGTTGTCTTTAGGATTTTTTGGTTTGTTTTCCTGGTGTGTGTTTTTTTCTCAAATCATGAAATAAGGGAATGCTATGGAAATACTGCTATAAATTTTAAAAGCCCACAATAATCTCTCTTACTCAAGTAAGATATCCTGTGGATAAAAACTTTCTGATTATCAGTCCATTCTACATAGTTCAGCTGTATTTTTTGGCAGAGACTATAAGAGCTTTTGTCTGAATGTGCAGAAGAAGCTCATGTTTCACTCACATTGACCATCACAGAGCTGTTGTTTCCAAAATTGTGCTGTTGGTCCAGCCAAAACTGACAAAAGTGTTTAGCGTAGAGCCAACATCTGCTAATACAAGTGCAAGATGTAAAAGTATGATACAGTTTCTGCAAAAAATACTCAGTTTTGAGAATGTTTTTTTCTTGGTATGCTCCTAGATGTGCTAAAGCATTTGAATGAGTTGTAGTCTGTAATTCATTCAATAATACATCGCTGGTGTTGCTGCTTTCTTCACAGCCTATTTTTTTAGGGTACATTTACTGTCCAGATTCATTCTTTAAAGGCTTTGAAGTATCTCTCTTCAATCTTTTTCAACTGTACTGCTGTTTGTTATCAGCAATAATTTACTTGCTTTGACTGAAAATTAATTTTGGATAATGCAAACACATATAAGACATAATGAATTTACTGAATGTTTTGGATGATTTTTTCTTAATGACTAAAACCTGCTTTTTAATGTGGAAACACTCAGCCAACAAAAAAGTGCTTGCACTTTAGTGAAATGGCACTCACTGCAAAGCTGGTGAAATGAATGGATACAAAAACATAATGTGTTTGTTTATAAAGCTCACTGTCTTCTAATCAGAATTTGTTTTACTAGTTCCCAGAAACCCGGGTACAGAAAATAAAATAATTTTTCTCTGAAATGACAAAATGGTATTCTTTTAGTAGTATGGGTTTACTAAGAATAAAATCATTAGTACATGGGATTGAACCACTTCATAGCAAGGTCTGAGACCTGGGTGGGCTATAGAGTCCATAAGGACTCATGTTTGCCTGCCTCTTGCAGGACATGGAGTTGGTTGTGTTTTGAACAGCTGCTCTTCCTGAGGTTATACTCTGATTAAAAGAGATGATTTCTTGTTAATCCATCCTGTGATGGAAGTGACGGCTAAAAATAAAGAAAAAAATAGCATAGAAAGCAATATGCTGGCCAGTTTTTGTTAAGAATAGAAAGCAATGCTGTCAAGGGCTGAAAATAATTTCCTCAGTCAGAAATCTTAGAGTCAGGGTGGTTGTGTAATGGGACCAAAAGAGAAAGGACAGATTAGATTGAGGTTGCTGAATAATCACTTCTTTGAGAAAAATATAGTCTAATATCTGAAAGCCTATTCAAGGAAAATATTTCTCTTGGATCTGGAATTAAATATTGACAGTAAAAGGTCTATACATCATCAAGTACCTGTGACTCAGAGCTGAAATCCATCATTTGGGTTTTCAAATACTTTTCCTTGATCACTTTCATGAGATAAGTGTGCTTAATACATCTAGATCACAGATTTATTGTGAGCTGGGGTTTATTTATTTGTTTATTATTTGTAGCAGCACACAGAGACAAACCTGAAAAACAAGAAAAAATTGAGAGGAAGGAACCCCCAAAGGGTATGTATTCAGCTTTTGATATTCTTTGTCTTTTTATCAGTGATTCAAAACAGTCTAATGGACTCTTAGGCTGTTTAATAATGTGTAGGGCAATAATGTTTAAGGATGGAGGAGGTGAAAGCCAGTTGGAAAGAGAATATAGGAGAAATTTTTAAAAAAATTTGAATTCATCACTGTACAGAAAAGCTGAAATTATATTCAGATATTAATTAGCAAGTGTTTGCTGTACTAATAAGTTATGTAAAAAATGCTCAGTGCACAAATAGGTGTCCTTTTTATTCTTCTTTAATAAATCCAAGCATATTATTTGTCCTTGAAAATACTTTGCACGAAAATGTAATGAGTAAATTATAACATACTGGATATGGTCCCTGCAGATATTTGCTTTGGAAATCTGCTTTAAAGAAAAAAAAAAAAAAATTCCTCCAGATTAATTTCAGAGACATTGGGGAGAAGTTTTAGAGAGAATTTAATAATTTTCTGGTGATGTATGCCAACAACAAATTAGAGATCTATTGTAGGAGTCAGAATCAGGATACTGCTTATTCTCCACACACAACTCATGAGTTAGTTCTGGGTTACAAGAGCCACCATCTACTTTGCATTTTGTGAGGATATTTTAGCAAAACAGAATTTTGGTGGAGTGCACCTACTTGTGAAAACACTTTAATTCTTCTGAGAACATGTCCTTTGCACTAACTTATGGCTAAGGAAATCTTGGGCTGGAGGAAGAAACACATTCTTGAAGAGCAAACAGGCCAATAATCATAATAAATTACCAAAAAAGTAAAGGGAAGACCGAATATCCAGCCACAGCAGACTTATTCAGGCCAAGAGCACAAGGGAATGTGCACCTCGTGAAAGCTGTGCTTGACTAGGCTTTTCTAATGGTCTTTGATTGGAGCTTTTCAATTTCATATAAGTAATTCAATGTGCCTTGAGCTAACAAGACTTAGAAGTTAATGGCAGGCATATAAATGGATGTGTCTGTTAAGATGAATAATTATTAGGAGAAAATAGAATGGTGATAACATGGGAAATTTTTTCTGGGATTTGGAAAAATGCCAAAGCAAAGGCAATAATCTCCCATATTAAAATATGAATTTATCTTTAAGATTTCTGTCATAATGTGGAAAACTTGGGAAACTCTTCAACTTGATTTCACAGGAGAATTATATTTAAAGTTTTATTAAGTTTCTTAGAAAAAAGGAAAAAAATTGTCCCAGTCAAACTCAGATAGCCAGTGAAAAAAAATGACAATTATAGTGCACCTAGAATTGTGGGCTTGAAAAAGGGCATGTATTCTAATGTATTATCAACTTCTGGAATGAAGTTTAAGAAAGTTATTTAATGACACATTAGAAGTGTCTCAGTCACAGATTAGCAGTGTCTTGGTCAGAGATGTCAGCCATGTTCTCATGTGCTTCATCACTATATTACTTAAAAATGTGGAAGCCTGAATATTGTCTACCACTCCTCTTTTACATTCAGTTACATGTGGAATTCATGGTATTGTTAAAGAAGTTTCTTATCTCCTCATGTTAGACAAAAGGAGTTCTAAACTTGGATGAAATCTCCACAGGAGTTAGACAAGCTAGGCTTGCATTTTCACAGCTGTTCTTTCAGAAGTGTTCTAAAACTCACATGCTTATTTTTCATTTTCTAGAAAAATACAGCATAAAATCCTAAGAAAAATGATTGGAAAACGTTCTATGAACAAGTGGATAGCATAATGCAGTTTCCACTGTCATAATGTTAATTTTACTTTGCACATACTGGGTATCTAATTATGGTTCTGAGATCATCATTGCCAGGGACTGATCTCAGCTAGTGTCCATTACTAGCTATCTGTATCCATTACTAGCTGTCCATATCCATTGCTGGTTATCCATTTCAAGCCAGCTGGAGAGCCACAGATGTATCATTTGCACATGTGATTCTCTTATGCTCCGAGATTGATTCCAGGGTTTTTACAACCTGTGTCTGACAGAGTATGGGGCGGCCAAGGTGAAGCCCTCTTTCTATCACAGGCAGCAGCATTCACTGTGAGCTGTGCCTTAGTAAGTGGCATTTTTCTGAAATTCTTCTGGAATTGACAGACGATTGCAAGAGATGATGTTATGCAGAAAGCAGCTGAGGCATTTTACCATGGCAGTAACTTGTTAGCCAGAGTTGGCTGCTCACACCCCTCTAGTATGATGTGTGCTGTGAAAATATGCACAGGGCAGCTCTGCCACTTAGTATCCTAAAGCTCATCTTGGTGAAATTGTTTTGGATTCTTAATTTTTTATTTTTTCCACTTTTTTTTTTCTTTTTTTAAGGATATATATAACACTTTCTTTCTTTCCTAGTGACAAGTAAAGACAAACTGGAAAGACAAGAAAAACCTGAAAAAAAGGAAAGGAATGCAGGTAATTATTTAATGTCAGAATTTATTTTACATTTGGAGGTACCCCTAGGCTAATTCTCTACTCAATTCCCATTTATGTATGCCTTTGATTGAAGAAAAAAAAGTGTTATAAAATATTATGAATAAAAATAATGAAATAATAAAAAGGTTTACAGTCTTACACAATAAGTAGCATTTAATATTCCTTCTGCATATATTTGGGTTTTTTGTGTTTTTTTTTCCTGGGGAAGGAAGATAATCTGTTTTGTGCTCTGGATTAGTGTGATCTTATGATAATCACTGAGTATTTTCAACACTTGCAATAAGAATGGTTGCTAAGAGACTGTGGTCATCCAAGAAAAAGGAACCTGACAGCCCATTCACAGAGGTAATCGGGAAGGCCATGTGGAAAAAAAGCATTTGAAATATACTACTGCATAGGGCCATTGCATAGCCACTGAGTACACCAGGACTAATTCTTCCAGTAGCTACTCCCAATAGATACGTGTCTAGCACTGTTTTATCTTCCCCAATTCTTACTTTCTTTTTACACACCAGCTCAATGCTCATGCATATGTTTTTGTGTTCCTAGGATGATCTCATACGCTGTACTCAAACAGGGAATTGCATGTTTTCACACACATGATCCCCACAGGCCACATCAGCCCATGCAAGCATCAGTTCTGCACACCCATGGACGAGTTACTGTGCAAACATTAATCACAAAAAATTAGCAAATCAGAACCCACACAGGAGAATATTTCAGATTGCCCACCACTCAGTGACTACCACACAACTCAGGTGTGTTCTGAAACCTGAGCCAGAAATCCAGAAACTACAGAGCAGTTAATTTCAATTTGTAAGGTGGAAATTAAAAGCAAACAAAATGCCCCAAAGAACATTAGTTATAATGTCACTGCAATTAGATTTGTAATTAATTATAGTGCTTAATCATTCATAGCTGGAAAAAGTTGTTCTGTGGAGTTCAGAAAATCCTTCAGAAATTAACCAAAGTAATAAACAAGAAAGCTAAATATAACAATAAACCAAAACAAACCAATAAATAAATATATTAAAGAGAGAAAACCAGTAAACAATATGTATGACTTTTCTTGACTATCTTCTTTCTTGGGATTATAGTGGAGCTAGAAAGCCTGCTGCTCCTCCAGCCAATGGCAAAGGTGTCAGTGATGGAAGATGAGTTTTTGGACGTTCCAATCCCATATTTTGGCATCAACAACAAACAGCAGCAGCTGAATCAATTTTCCTCATTCTTTGCATGCATAACCATGGTGCCTACTTGTGTTTCTTGATTCTTTCTCATTTAAATGCAACTTTTTTTTTTAATGACCATTAAGATTATTGGTTTTATTTCTAGCTGTTCACAAAGAGAAACCTGAAAAGCCAGAAAAACAAGAAAAGAAAGCACTGTCTAAAGGTATTGTGGATTATCATTAAAAGCTGTACAATTTTAGTGCTTGAAATCTTGGGAGAATGTGGAGATAAGTATTTAAAGTACATTTTTTGGGTGTTGTCACTTCTGTGTGAGTGGGTCTTGATCAACCCCTGAGTGAAGTCTTGCTTAGCATATTTTTTTTTTTTGCTTTACTCTCCTGTTTTTATGCACAGAGTTTATTACAAATCATTCTTACAGCTAAAGAGTGAAACCTATGACTATTTTATTTACATTCCCTGATGCTTTTTATCTCCACAAAGGGATTCAGTAGTTTGCCTGCAAAGAAGGTTTTCTCTTGTGCATTAGTTTTCAACCTGATACAGACCTAATGCAAAAGTATTTACTGTCTCTCAGTCTGGGTCTTCCATTACATCCAAAAATAGAATTTCATTTTCTTGCCTTTATTTTTTTCAATAACATTTTAATTTCAGTATGTTATTTGCACTGTCTTCTATGGCACCACTGGCTTTGGTCAAGATTTACATATCTAATAATTATCATATATATTCTGAAGCAATATAATGGATATGTGAGGGGTGATTTTCACTATTCTTGTGAATAATTCCATCTTTGGCTGTGGTTTGGACAGGGAAATTTAAAAATCCAACCACCTTGCCCTATTATGCCATTTTTAAAGACTAACATTTATTATTGCTTGACATTTGAATGTTTTTCTCTGAGGTTAGATATTTCTCTGTGGCAGATATTTCTGTAATGAAGTTCAGTTTCTGTCTTTGTCTCTTTTTATTTTACTCAGTTAACTCTTGAAGAAATACTATGCAACATATATTCATATAAGTTTGTTATGGCATTGAGATTAATCTCCTGACATTGAGAAGCGTGAATTAACTAGGTTTAATTTGAATATGTTCAGATAATATAGATACAAATATACAAATCACCCTTTTTTTTTTTTACTTGGCCGTAGTCTGAGGAATGTAAAACAAAAAGTAAAAGTGAAGAGAGAAAGAAAGCAAGCAGAATGAAGACTTAAAGCCATAAAAAACGTCGAAGGGAGCCATGGTCCAGACTCTGTTTTAAAGGGATACTGTTCATTTTTTTCTACTTTCAGTGTATAGATTGAAAGTGTGGGATTTTTTTTATAAAATGAAATCATGCTGAAGTAAGCCAGAGAAAATAAATGCCCATAGTGTCTGTGTTGATTTGAAAAGCAAATAACTTCCAAGAATCACTGAGATAGTCCTAATAAGCAGCCAGCCTCTTTACCCATTTATCTTCTGCTAGCTAACCAAATAATCACTTAGAGCCTTAATGTGTTTAATAGCAGCCATGACTCCAGTCACTGGCTGGAAAATTTTATGAAGAATTTGGACACTGTAGCTGTGGAGATTTGTGGCTGCAGTGTGACATAGCCATGCTGCCCTCTCTTGGGTAGGTTCCCTGCTGTGAGTCCCTATGGCATCAGAGGGGCTATTTCAACCACTTGCAGTAGCTAGGAAATGAAAATATTCAGGTCCTGGCCAGCTCTGGGGAATGAACATACTGAAAATCGTGTGGCTACTTCCCACACAGTCAACAGGTTTCCTTTATGCTCCTTGCAAAGACACAAGGTAACTCCTCAGACTCTGTTAAAGGCTCCAGAAAGCCTCAGTGACATGAGTGTTTTTTAAACACACTGTCTAAAAACATCTTAAAAAAAAAACCAACCCAGTCTAAATATCAATTATGCCTCCTACAGGCTGGAATTCCAGGGTGGAATTCAGTGAGAGAGGATGTTGCTATTATGTAGTTATCAGTTGAAAGAAATGTAATGAACTCTCAAGGCTGGTTTGTTCTGGCATTCTGTCTGGATAGTGACCCAGAGGGCAAAGATGGAGTCTGCATAAAACTTCAGCAGCCTTTCTGGAGCACAGTCTTGTGTGTGTTTGCACAGTGTATCTTATGCAGACATGAACTCACTCAAGCTGGGCTCTGAAGTGAGCACCAGACTTATGGCTGTGCTTGTAGACAATGAGCCCAAGCTAAGAAAAACACCTTTCTGTAAGACAAACACAGCCACATGGCTTCCTGTTGGCTGGAGCACAAGGCCAAGTCCGTGTCTGCTCGGCACATGACACGAGCAAGTTTGTTTCATCTGGAACATGCAGTAAAAACATTCCCTAGGGCGCTTCAGATCTGTGTGACTCACTTGTCCTCTGCTAAGGGAGCCCCAAAAGACATTTTGAAGTTTTTTACCCCACTATATGAATCTGAAAACAAGAATTTTGAAAACTGAAAAGTAGGAATCATAAGAAAATGTGAAATTTCCAGCAATGATAATGTGTTTTGGCAATATTTTCTTTGTGAGTTTTTTCCCCTAATATACAGTTGTCCTTATTTCTAGTAACTCAAAAAGATGCACCTGAAAGACATGAAAAAGCTGAAAAGAAACCTCCTCCCAAAGGTATTTATTTATCTGTACTACATTTTTTTAAACTGAATTGACATTGAAATGCACTTTCAATTTACATTGAAATAAAAAACTTTTTTTTATTCAAGCAGAGATTGTAAATGTGCGTGAAAAATCAGCTACATGAAATTAAAATTAAATTAATATATAATCAGAATTAAAATGTCTGTAGAACATCCAGGAGTTAATTCTGTGCTTGATCTCTTTCAAAATCTGTTGAAATTTCAAATTAAAAATAAAAGTATGAACCACCATTTCACTGAAAACAAGTAAGCCTACCTGCAAGAGATCTGACATACATTTTCACTACAACTAGCTCAGGATATTAATTCTCCACTAGCTGGCAATACCTGCGTTTGACTGGGAGAAATGCTCTTATATAATTATCTGAATTCTGGTTTGCAGTAGTCAGATATTTCAGCTTACATATTGATAAAATCAGTTTAAACATCTCAGTGGTTTAACAGAAGTCTAGACTCTTACAGAAAACAGATATTTGGTAGCATGCAAGTTTTGCCTCAAGGGCAATTTAGATCTATGAAGAAACCAAGAGTATGAACTTTGCACTAAACAGATTAATTTAAAACATATCCAGTGGTAGTTTATACTACTATTGGATTTTCTACTGGAGTGAACTAGAAACATACATATTGGGAGCGTGCATGGCTCAGGTGAGAAAAAGTTGCTGACACATAAAAGTGGAAAGAATGCTTTGGGTCTCACCAAGCTCTGTAGCTTCAACTACTGATATTTACAATTACAGTATTTACTGTTTGGCAACTCTCCTTGGAAGCCTCCTCACTCTCCTGAAGGGCATCTCAGACTTTCAGCCCCCAGAACTGGGGCTGATCAGACTCAAGAACTCAAAAGTTCTTGGACTGAGACCTAGAATCGATGCATGAAAGCAACCCTTAAAAATAACCACATGCTATTTTTCCAGCTTACAACAGAATTAAACGCTGAAATCTAAACTTGTTCAGATAGTACCTCCCATATTTGTTTACTTAATGACCAACATGTTCCTCCCTAGTTTATACCCTAAAACCTATTATATTAGAAACGCTTATTATTTGGCATATTCTATTATATTTAATGTCAGCCAAGTATGTGGTATAGCACTATATTTCAATATATTGAAATTATATTTATATATATAAAATAATATTATATGTTATATGTTATGTATGTTATATGTTATTATATATTATATATTATATATTATATGTCTAATATCTTATATAAAACCTCTTTGGATCTCATATTTCTGTTTAATTCTCCCTGGTTTGAGGGGATTATAGGTTTCATCAGATCTTACCAAGCGGTAAATAATGAAGAAATGCTCATTATTATTAGCACGGTATAAAGTAAATGGCACTGAATATTATGTTGGGGGCAGAGAATGACACTGAAAGCTTTTTCTTTATTACCTGCAGAGGAGAAGAAAGTAAAGAGCACTAAAGTGGAAGCAAAAGTTAAAAAGGAAGTGAAGGATGGAAAAGGAGAAGCAAAGACAGCAGAGAAGGTGAAGCAGGCAGAGACAAAAACAACAGAAACTGGGCTAATAAAGGCCAAAACGAAAGTTAAGGAGGAGAAAGCTCTTCAGACTGTAACTAAATCGGACAAGAAAGGTAAACAAAATGAGGAGGAAGCAGATGAAGATCCTAAAAAGGTAGTAGGGAAGAAAGAGAAAGAATGGAGTTAAATCTATCAAGGACCAAAGTCCACCCATGAAAAACAAAAGTGCAGTACAAATAAATTCCACACAAACCTCACACTCCTAGGACTTGACTACAGAAAATAAAATAAGCTTAATTTTTATAATCAGAAGGTTCTCAAGTTTTTCATGGCTAAAGTTTCATTTTAATTTAAATACTTCTTTACCAAGGACCAATTTCTCTTCAGATAGGTCTGAGACTTCATGGATTTGTTCAGTAGCATCTAATGTAGTAGATTGCAAGCAGAGTTATTTTTGAAAATTCAGACTGTCCAATGACCTATTGGGAATCCTAGTTTGTTTCTACATCTGCATATGTCCTCTGTAACCATAATGAAAGCAGCCACAGTGGTGTAATAATTTATCTAACATCATATTGTACGAGGCACTGTCAGGTTGTCAGGTATTGTACAGCATAGCGAAATAACCGCTTGATATAATTTAATGTAAACAGCTTTCAAATTCCTTCCAAAAGGGAAAGAAATGTTATTACTCTGCTGAAAGGAATAAATTAAATGATAAAACAAAGAATCAACATGCATTGACACCATATAGTTAACAAAGTGTTAACTTTATCAGAGTAAGCCTGGGTCCCAGGTTGCACTGAGAATGGTCCCCTGATTTCCCTGAGGCATTTCCACAGCACTAGATATAAGTCCGTATGAATGAAGGCAGCAGGACCTGGTTTCTGTATGAGCTGCCACACTACAGCCATGGGATCATTCTGGCATTGGAAGAGGCTGCTCAGTGTTGCACAGTGCACCTATCTGATCCTTTCAGCTGTTAACCACAGATAACAGCTAACAGATAAAGTTTGTGCCTCAGCATCAAAGAAGCCATCCCTGTCTGGCTATCTGAGTGTGCCTCATCACATTCTCTCAAAGTTTCATAACCATCACTCTGGACCCCTCAGGAATTGCCTAAATTATATTTTTCTAGAAAACTGAGAGAGTTTGAGATAGCCCACTTGTTGATATGCGTAGTGTGCTGAACTAGTATTTTTTAATGTTTATTTGTATTCCAGTTAATTTTGTCTTTTACTTGAAATATTAGGACCTATGAGGCATGGAATCAAAGCAGCATCTACCACACTGATTGCTGTGACCAAGAACAAAGTTCAGCAAATTGTTCAGTTCACTTGGGAGGTCAAAATCTCTTAATTTTTTGCTTTCTCTGGCAGAGTTTCAGTTCACAGTGGGAGCCTCTCCATACTGTTCAGGATAAAGCTCACAAAAAGAAATGCTGTGCAGATGACAACAAAATATTTTAAGTAGGGATCAAAGATTACAAAGATCAATAGAATAGTGGTGGGGTTTTTTTTGTTTTTGCTTTGTTTTTGTGGGATTCCCAACAACTTTAGCCGATAAATATTAGCAAAATGATCCATCTTGACATCAAACATTAACAGATCACTTTGCAAGTCTGCTTTAGAGTGTGACCCCAGTGACTGTGCACGGAATCCCAGCAGGTGAAAATGAGAATAAGCAGCTGGAGTGGAGGAAGGAAGGAGCCTCTTCAACTGCCTTTATCACTGAAGACAGGCCTACACACATCTAGTGAAAGCTTCATTTCCTACTGTCGAGATTCCTTTTTCCACCATAAGCCACTGCTGCACAGCTGGATACTCTAAAAAATTCATTTTTGTATTTCAGTCCCACTGTGACCCAAGGTGAATATAATTTAAAAGTCGATGCAGTTTTGCAGAGATCTCCTGATCCTGCAGTCTTTACGTTTACTTGCTCAAGGGAGTAGTTCTGCAAGCTTATCTGAAACAATGCAAAAAATATAGCAGTGATCACAAAAGAGTTGTTGCATCATTTAGTACTGAAATTAAAATGAAAAAAGGTAGGTCATCTCCCTGGGTAAATCACACTAAGCCCAACAACAGAAACATCTGTGAGTACATTTATCATTAAGAATCTAGTCCCAAATTTTGACATGATTTATTAGTACTTATATGAATATTTTTTTGCCATCATTATGGAGTTATAATTGAAAAATAAAGTGTGAAATTTTCCTCTTAATACAGGAGTTTAGATTAGAATGGATTTTTAGCCATGAAGAGACACTTGGAAAATCATATTCATTTAAAATTCCTTAGATTTCAGTCTTTACTGATTGGTAGCATTCCTATGAACTAAAATAGGATGTTATAGTGCACCTTGCTATGCCGTATAGAAATTATATTTTTGTTATTGAAAGTTTCACATCTGCCTTTAATTTCTTTTATAAATCCCATTTTTTTGTGTTGAGTTGCTAAAGAAATAATATGAGGAGAAAATTAAAACAAAATCTTTTTTCTAAAATACAATCAAGATTAAGGATTTTTTTTAAGTTTATTCAAATTATATTCCTACAAAGCAAAATAAAATAAATCCAAAAAAAATCACAACAACAACAACAAAAAGATAAACATAATCAACAACACAGTTTGGTTATTTCTGGTCTGTACTACTATTAAATAATAGATTATTTTAATATCAATTAAATGGTGTGATTCTAGAGCCTCATGCTATGTCTACATCACAACTCAAATAGAACCAGCACAGGCTTGTGGTCTGCCATGGATGTTTTCCCCTACCATAGTTTTATCCCATATCCTCTAGAAGTCCTATGTACAATGCTCCAAATGTTGCAGGAAATCTTCCCAAGAGTCAGCAAGGATAGAGACAGCTTGTTTTGCCAAAGGAGAACTAAGACAAATCAGCTTTTTGTGCAAGAACTGTGCCCAGCCATTTGCTTTCTGGGCTTAAGTATTGGTGTTGCTCCATTTTATTTATAAATACTCACTGAGGCCCTATTGCAACAGTGTCCAAGTCCATGCAAACACTTTGCTGACTTCAGTAGCTTTAGGTGGGCTCAAGAAAACAGATCTGTACATGTTTTTTCACATACACGCTGTTATTTTTATTTTTTTAGAATAATATATAGATTTAGGGCCGATACTGTAGCCTTAAGGATGGAATCCAAAGTTAGAGCCAGCCAGAATGATAAATTTGAATTCCCAAATATGAAGGATAATTGCAAATATTCATTAGAGGTTTTAAGGGCAGTGTTTACAGCCACAGCCCTCTGTACATGCTGAATGTTTTGCCCCAGGCTTCACAATCCTGACTGGTATTACCCTTGCCATCTCACTAACACAATAGAGCTGCCTAGGCTTCTCTCAGCTAGAAAAAGTGTTTGGATATTTGTTAAGTTGGTAAACTCTTTCCTAAGTTCTACATCTGCATAGGAAATAATGACTTGAGAGCTGTAGTTGTTCATCCAAGGACTGCTGTATCAGTCAACATAATAGAGCAGCAGTCACATAAATGCCTCAGCATCAAGTGATACTGATGTAGAAGTGAACTGTGCATGAAAGTCCATAATATAATGAGTGTCACATACTTGGGAATTACATTTTGCATTTAAATGTAACAGCAATGCCATTTTAAAAACTTTAATTATTCCAAAGCCAGCATAATTTTATTTTGGAGTTGCTGAGAGGGAAAACAAGTGGCTTTCTAAGTGAGTAGGACAGAGATGCCACAGGAGGTGGAGAGAAAGAGATGTAACTTCTACAGTGTAGGAACTGTGCTAAAAGAGTCTTGGACAGATGGATGAATATGCTTCAAGGACAACTGAGAACTAACTTAGCTAACCAGAGCTGGCATTTAGACATCAACATTAGCTTTCAAAGCAAATGCCCCTTAGAGTCCACTGGAGAAACAAGCTGTTTTATCTGATCTGCTGAAAAATACAGCAATACGGAAATTCTTTTGTACTCAGTTAAAGCTGATAAACTTTCCTCACCATTCTTAGTGTTAGAAATTTTTGTTAAGCTCTCCATCTCTGCTTAGGTATAGAAGTCAATAGACAATCATCACTTCTGGAATCAGCATTTTATTTAGATTCAGAAGCCTTAATTTCTGAATAGTATAGTTTTTATATATATATAAATATACATATATATTTAACATATACATATATATTTGTAAAGATTAGTGTTTGGAAAATGATTCTGTAGTGAAACAGTAGAATTCTGTGGAAAACCTTGTTTCTATAGGAATGCAAGTATACAGAGTTCTTTTTATATTCCCATTTACTAAATATACATATTTATTATACGGTTAAAAACATATTAACAAAATACTGTGATACAAAACCTTTTTTTGACATTTTGTATCAGCTGTCTGTCAAATTGATCTTCACAGGTGATGAAAAGTCTATGAGACCTATGGCCAGGCAGGAGTTTGCACTGTACTTGTGCATGGGGTTAAGCTACATGGCAAGCAGAGCCAGCCCAGAAAAAGAGGTGCTAGCTCTGGGACACTGGAAGCTCTGCAGTTCTTGGCTAGAGGTTTTGAATTAGATCTGGACAAGAAATTGTCACTTTCTGAACACGTGAATCACTTGAAGGTCAGGAAAGAGCCATAAATATGTAGTAAGTAAGACTACCTATGAAAAGGCTACTGAGATGTCTTTGTGCTGCCAAACTTTATTCACTGTTAAATACAAATTACATTTTAAATTTACTTTCTTCATTACTCTTCTTTTCCTTTTTGCTCTGTTAGATCAATATGCATTCTGTCGCTATGTGATTGACATGTTTGCGCAAGGGGATTTTGATCCAGGTACTTTCCTATATCATTGAACTCTGTTCTAATATTCTTCTGTTTCCCTGAGAGTTTTTGCTCTTTTATGTATTAAAAGTGTGGTTTTTATTATTGAAAGGTCTCACAAGAGCAACAAAGAGTGTGCAAATAGTTTTAATAAAGCATAAGAGCTAATGGCTGTTTTATTAAAGCTTCTAATTTTCTGTCTACAGTGCATGAATTAAAATCGAGGTTATGTTAAAAGTAGAGTCAGTGGAAGGCTGTGGAAATTGCTAAAATTTTCCATGCTTCTTTTGGCTAAGATGCAAGAGAAAGGAACTTATTGTTAATAGCTTATTATTTGTTTTATTGGGGTTTTTTTCTCCAGAAATAGCAAGGCTTAACTCCAAAATGCTTCAAAAATAGAACTTCCATTGCTGTTGGTATATAAAATACCTTAGTTGATCTATCACTTCTGTGCTTTATCTTCTCTCTTCCCACACCTCCATGCTAATCTATTATAACACAGACACGTAATTCCTCACCAAAGAAAAGAAGATAGAGCTATGGATGATGACTGAACATCAACTCATGGTACTAAGTCTACCCTGATCTTATTTAATAAATATTCTTCTTCCTGAAGTCTAGACATAATGTAGAGAGGACATAACCCAGGGAATGAAAAGCAATAATAGTCATGAAAAGAGTCAAGGAGAGAATATTTAAGGACACACTAAGCCCTAAAAGTTTGTTTATGCAGTTATTTGCTCAACAAGCTCTCCACCGGTACACCTGTGAATTGGTTGGGTTTTTTCTTATCTCTACCTTGTGGCTTACATCCCCTCTTGGCATGCCCAGGTTCAGACAGAGCTGGGAAGGACGTAGCTGAGAAAGAAAGGCTCTCACAAAGGGGAGAGGAGGACACAGATTTTTCGTGGAAGGAAAATGAACAATCTTGGGTTTCTCTTAGGAGAGGGTTTGTGTCTCCTCAAAGAGTGCCATGGAGAGGCAGCGGGTTCCATTAAAACATAGCAAAATAGTGCACCATCTCTAGGACTTCTAAAGACAGCCAGTTATAAACAGAAGGATGGCTTTAGGCTCAGAGGGGGAGAATGATTAGCCAAACTTTCCAGAGACTGCAAGTCATGATTTGATTTAGAAAATAACACCCTGTAGTAATGTAAATGACCTAGTTTTTGGATTTAGACAACTGTACCATCAACAATTCACATGAAAAATACTTTCATGGAGATCTTCAAGATCTTTTTTACAGTTCTCCTGACATTTAAAAGCAGCAGTGAAAGAAACCCTTTTTCCCATAAGGCTCCCTGGCCTATTTTACACTCTCCTGAGGAAGAGCAGACATGCTATAGGAAGGGACGGTTTGGGTTTTTTAAGTTTTGACCTTTCCAGCTATAAGGAAACTGGGAAAACCATGAAGGGGAGCAGTGACATAGGGAGGGAAGTCTGTAGCAACTTGAATTTCAGAAGATAAAAGACATGACCCTTCCCTTCCAGTGTTTGTCTTGCACCATACCAGTGTGGTATGACAGACTTCTGGTAAGAAACCACAGGTTAGAGCTGAAAGACATGGGGTGATCAGATGGCTTACACGTGAATGAAAACCTCAGGTGACAGTTTTAGGCTCCAAAAAGTGGAAATAGTTCATAAAATATCTTAAACAATCTAATTTTTAGGTGAAAAGGAAAAGGACTGCCCCTTACCATCTCCCAAAGTCCACCTGGTGCTCCATCTGTACAGCAACTGGTCTCAAGTCACTTGTTGGCCCCTGAAGTTAACAGATGGTTGTTGTGCTGAGGCCAGATATATTTTTGTGGGAGGGAAAAAAAACCCACATTGCCTTCAAAACAAGCTTTGGTCAACCCACTGGCTGTGAAAGGAAATGCTGAAACATCCAGACTCCCAAAAAACTACTCAGTGTTTCTGAGAAGCAAAGTAGAGGGCAGGTGTGATCAGCCTTGATTTATGGATATCATTGAGAAGAGTGCCACCAAACAGTACCTGGTTAGTTTGTCTTTCTCAGCCAAAGTACTCATTTTACACTTTTGCACTTTTGTGAACAGAAGTATTACTGTAATTCATTTTACTGAATAGATAAACGTGGGGAAAACACCCTTTAATAACTCTAATATCCAATTAGCTTTACAATCTGGTATTTTTTATCCTTTTATCTGTCTATATATTTTATGGTAAAGAACTTTGTCCAAACAGAATTCTGAGTGCAAATCAGCTGAGGAATTAAGTTACAATCACCTTGACACTGCAATTCTTTCAAACAAGGAATAATTTCTATCAATCTCAGTACTACCATTTGCCAAGGAAAAAAAAAAAATTGTTGTATAGAAAATTCCTTTGCCTAGACATATTGGGGTTTTCTGTGATTAAGTACATCAAACATAATTTTCTGATTCCTTAGGCAAAACATATGGATTTATAACATCATTAATAGTAATATAATTTAGAAATTTTTTTTCAAAGTATTTTTACAATGTTTCTGTTACAAAAAGTTAACATACATTAATTCTAGGATTATGTTTTTTTTATTTTTATACAAATTTTAAGCAAGAATTTATAGAAAAGTAGTTCACTTAATATGGCATTTGATAGTGCTCAAACAATTAACATTAAAAGTAAAGCTCAGTTCCTTAGGTTTCATTAATAAATACAGTTTTTTAAATATATCAATTAATGCAGTTTTTCAGTCACATCAATCTACTGGAGGTCAGTTAATGGTCTTGTGATGATTTTAACAAATTAAGCTGAAATATTCTCCACTTACTCAAAGTTTCATCATGACACTGCAGTCTTAACTATAAAAAATGAATGAAATGTACACAGGAGATTCAAGGAAGCCATATAAGGATGATTTTTTGCTAAGATGCTTTATGCAGCTGGTTTTCTAGTTTTGCTGGTTAGTATTCATCCTTGATACTGACAAATTTCATGGATGTCCTCCTTTAAGCCATAATAATTGTATCAATATCAAATAACTTCTAAGACTCATATTTTAATTCTTATGAAAGAGAAGTATTTAGAGGTTCTCAGATGTTTACAACAGATAATAGTGGAGCTTTAGCCATAAACACATTTTTTTCTAATCCAGAAGTCTTTCCCATTAATATCACGACTGCAACAGTGATAGTTGGGTTCTACTGATATATTTAAACATAGACCACAAGAGGCCAACTGAGCACAGTATAAGAAACTGCTTTCTGATTTTATCTCTTGAGAAATGGGCCTCAAAAATATTTTTTGCCTTCTGTCTAACATGCTTGTGATAAGTGACAGCTTCTCAGAGGAACTGCTGAACATTCTTTCATAGATTTTCTGGTCTCATTTGTCCCTGGACTACAGTTGCTCAGCCAAGGCAGTACTGTCTCAGCATTAACAAATTCCTCTGCCCAAACTTCTTTGTACTCCTTTTGTCTGCCTGTCAAGGAAGAATTAATATGCATTTCTTTCAGGATTAATTTTTCAAGTTTTCCTTATAAAGACTAAAACCTTAGGTGGAAAGCTTGTTTATTAAGAACATTAGGTCTGACTTGTACCTTTATTTTTCTACAGACATTTCCTGAGTCCAATAGCATTTTTTATGCAGAAGGTCACTTACATAGTTTCATGGATATGGTCTATTCTTTGTACTTGATAATTTGCTTGATATTCCTGTATTTTGTTCTCAGTAGTATTTCTAATATTCTAATTCATAGTTTATTTTTTATTGGTAGGAAAAAGGGTTCTATTTTAGTAGAAATTTTAAAACTTGTTTTCATAACTATTATTTTGATGTTAGAGAGTTTGAAATCCTCACCCATGTGGAAGGATTTCAGGGGCACTAATTGGTCACTCTTTCAGCATGGAGCACATATTTCTGTAAGTTAACAGGATCTACTCTATTTTATTCCCTCTGTGCCATACACCTGTTTTCCCACTCTTCCCCGGCCTTCCTTGCAATGCTTGCCAGCCACGACTCTGGCAGATTAAGGAGATGTTCTGATTAAATGCCTTTTTTGTTTTGCAACTAATGAAATTGGATTCTTGCATGTCTGTCTTTCTGCATGGCACCTCAGCATGGTGTTGTGCATGCTGAATTAAGAATGATAAGCATGCCTTGGGTGTTTAGTCATAAAATGCACCTTTTTTTTTCTCACAGGCATATTGTCTACTCATGATGTGATTTTGTTTTCTTTTTAATCACTTAGAAGTTTATTTTGAATGCATAGTTTTACTCTGTTCTGGTTTTGGTTAAACCACTTGCATTTCATAGAACACCTGACTCACTAGTGGATAATCTTTACAGTTGCCTAATTGGCAAGAAATACAGGGGAGCACAGGTGTGGTATTGTTCAGAATTTAGACTGTCTAAAACCTTAGCACTGAAGCACATGGTTGCTCCGTGGAGTTTGAACCATTACATAGCTGTTTCCAATAACAGCTAGACTGCAAAGGAACATGGGTTCCTTTCATCAATGTACCCATATATGTTCATTGTGTGTTTCCATGCCAGGGTCTCAAAGCCAGTCCTAAAGCCAGTATGAAAGCCAATGTGATGTAGACAATTTTACTTATCTTATATTGTTGAAAAAATATATGACTTGGAGAAATTCACCAGGATTTCTGCCATGTCTACCTTGCAAGAGAGTATCCTATAGGGTAAGACAGCCATCCCACCTTTTCATTAAAAAAATCATTGAAGACTCACCTTTTGCACATATGCTCATGAAATCCCGCCACCTTCCTGACAAACATAAAGAGTCAAGAAATTGAGGCAAATTGTGATGAGTATCCATGGAGAATCTTACAGACTGCTTGGTCCTGGAAAGTGTAGACTGAAAATCCTTCATATCTACAATTTTCTTCCAAGGTTTACCTCCTCTCCATTGTCAAGGAATATTCTGTCGGAGAGAAGGGACTACTGTTATTACCCAATAAGGCAAGAGAATTTCAAGACTGTCAGTATGATCCTTGCCATTTAATATAAAAAAAAATGTGGAGATACTGGTATGAAGGTACCTCAATAT